TCAAATCAGTTTTTAATTCTTTGAAATAAATCCCTTGGCTGTACGCCAGTCCCGGCACGTTCGCCTCTGAGGTGTACAGACACCGCAGCAGCAGCACACCGCAAACCAGCTCCACGCGAGAAGCGCAGCAGCAGCAGCAGCAGCAGCGGCTGCAGCAGCAGCAGCGGCGCGCTAGCAGCAGCAGCAGCAGCAGCAGCTGCAGCGGCCGTCCAAGCCGCCCCCACCCGCGGGGTGTACGTACACCCCAGCCTCCAGAACCCCGCAGCAGCAGCAGAGGGGCCCCCCGAGGGGCCCCCCAGGGGGCCCCCCCGAGGGGCCCCCCAGGGGGCCCCCCGAGGGGCCCCCCGAGGGGCCCCCGCAGCAAGAGGTCGGGTGGGTTTAGAAGGGGGGGTTTGGCCTGGGGACGCCGCCGCTGCTGCTGCTGCTGCTGCTGCTGCTGCTGCTGGTGGTGGGGGCGCGTTGGGGGCCGGTGGGGAGGCCTGCAGCAGCACACGCAGCGCAGCAGCAGCAGCAGCAGCTGCAGCAGCAGCAGCAGCAGCAACTCACGAATGCTGCGGAGGTAAAAGGCGGAGTCTTCCTGGCCGGAAGGGACGTAAGAGCGCCAGCGGCGAATGAGAGTTTGGGTGTTGTGTCTGCGGAGTTTGTCCCAAAAAGTGAAGTCTTTTGTTTCAAAAGTGGAAATTCTTTTAATTAAATCTTCTGAGTTTTCATTTTGTGGAGTTTGCTGCAGCTGCTGGATGGGCGGGGGGGCTCCGGGGTGTCTGTACACCCGGTCGGCGTGTCTGGAGTCCGCGCGCCGCAGCAGCAAGTCCAGCTGCTGCTGCTGCTGCAGCAGCAGCAGCTCCTGCTGCTGCTGCTGCTGCTCCCGCTCCTGCAGCGCCTTCAGCTCCCGCAGCTCCTCCTGGCTCAGCTGCTTCTGGCTGTTCAGGTGCAGCAGCCGCTGCTGCTGCTGCTGCCGCTGCAGCGCCGCCGCCTCCAGCTCCTGCTGCTGCTGCTGCTCCTCCTGCTGCTCTGCTGCTGCTGCTGCTGCAGCAGCAGCAGCTTCCAGCTCCTCGCCGCCAGCTTCGGAAGCACCTTCTGCCGCCACCAACAGAAACACCAAACCCCAAGAAGCTGCTGCGTCTCCAAATGCTGCTGCTGCTGCACTTCTACTCTAACTCGCAACTGCCTGCCCTTCTGCTGCTCTCCAGGTGTACGTACACCCCAGCGGCGCGGGTGTACGTACACCCCAGCGGCGCGGCCGCGCCGCCGCGCCGCAGCTGCTCAGTCGTGCAGATCTAAGGGGCCCCCTGGGGGCCCCCCGGAGGGGCCCCCCAGGGGCCCCCTGGGGGCCCCCCGGGGCCCCTCGGGGGCCCCGGGGGGGCCCCCCGGGGGGCCCCGGGGGGCCCCAGGGAGGGGGGGAGGCGCTCACCTGCGGGGCCGCGGGGCTGCAGAGAATGGACCGTCAATAAGTGGGCAGGGACTGGCTGGGGCTGGACGTGGGGGGGCAGTGGAGAGTCATCTGCAGAAATGACTACAGAGAGGGAGGGGGTGGAGATGGTGAAGGAGTCGAGGACGGGCAGGCGGGGCTCCATTTTGGGGGTTTCGCGTCGGTTTTCGCGGCTTTTTCGGGATCTCCGCGAACTAGGAGTCGAACTTCGGATATTAATGAGTCTTATTTCGGATATTAGTCCGAAATTTGCGAAAAAAGAAGAAAATTCGAGAAAAAACGGAGAAGATCGGACGAAGTGGCGGCGGCGACGCGCGCGGAAACCTGAACGAGGCGTCGACGACACCCGAGTTGAACTGGCGGAAAGCGGGGGAAAAAACCTTCGAAAGAGAAAAAAAAACTCCAAATGAAATTACTTTCAAGTTAATAACCAACTGGGAGAAAATTCAAAGAGAAATAAACCTAATTTGCGGCAGTCCTGGCGCAACTCGACGCGCAGCGGCTAGCAACCGGTGGCTAGCGTGTGCGCCGAGACGACCCCAACTGCCGCCGCTTTCGCCACTTTCCCCCACTACTCAAACTCAATTTCCCATTATTTATTCAATTTATTATAAAGTGATTGCTTTCTCCCAACAATTCGGCAATTTTCGCCGCCGCCAGACCAGCTGTACGTACACCCCAGCGCTGCTTTCCGCAACGCATCGAAACAGTCCGCCCAGCGCCGCCAGTTCCCCTCAGCAACTCAGAACACCTGCGGCCGAAGAAGTCTTTTTAAACTATTTTAAATAAAATAAATAAATAAATAAATATAAATAAATAAAAGAACAAAAATTAAAATAAAAACCCAAAAGAAATATCTCGCGCCAACTCTGGCTTCCCATACGCCGCAGCAGCGCCCGCAGCTTCTGCTCTTGCTTCCCCCTAACTGCAACAAGACTCAGCCTTATTCTTTCAAAACTATTTTAATTTAATTCAAAAACATCTTTTTTGTTTATGTTTCGAGGCAGGCTCTTCTGCTTCCTGTCCTTAGAGAGTTGCAAAGAAAGCAGCAGCAGCAAGTCGGCTGCAGCAGCAGATCTGCTGCAGCAGCAAATCTGCTGCAGCAGCAAATCCGCTGCAGCAGCCCGTACAGGCCACTGAGTTGCTGCTCGGGTGTACGTACAGTCCCCTCGCAGCAGCAGGGGCAGCCCCTCAGTCACACCAGTTCACTTCTTTAAAAGTCTTGTTCAATAACTAAATAAAGAGGGAAATAACTTTTATTGTTCGGTTCCCACTAGAACAAGAACTGCAGGGACCTCTGAGGTATCTGTACACCCCGTGAGGTGTCTGTACACCCCGTGAGGTGTCTGTGCACCCCGTGAGGTGTCTGTACACCCCGTGAGGTGTCTGTACACCCCGCTTGGCTCTCGAACTACTGCACATTTTGAAATCTAAGTTCATTTATTCTGTTCTCTTTGTCCATTACAAATGGGGATCCTTTGCTGTTTATTTAATCTTCTGAAGAACTTTCGAATCGGCCAAAGGCTCCTCTAAAAAACGAATGGGGTGTACGTACACCCCAACCCACACGGCCACGAACCCGCGGCCTCCACAGCTCAACTCCTTCACACTTTTTTCTTTTCTTCTTTTCTTTCTTTTTCTTTTCTTCTTTTCTTTCTTTTACTTTTCTTCTTTTCTCTCTTTTTCTTTTTTTCTTTTTTCCATTCTTTTTCTCCGTTGTCTTCAGTCCTTCAGGTGTACGTACACCTCCTACGCAGACTCAAGAATCTTTGTCACGCGCCCAGCCGCTATCGTTTTCCCTGCAGAAAAATAAAATAAAATAAAAATAAAATAAAAATAAAATAAAAATAAAAATAAAATAAAATGAAATCCAAAACAAAAATAAAATGAAAATCCACCAGCAGCTGTACATACACCCCAGCTCTCCCATTGCATGCAGTGCTGCACTGGCCTCAGCAGCAGAAGCAGCAAAAAGACCTTTTATGTTTTGCTGCTGCTGCTGCTTCTGCTGCTGCTGCTTCTGCTGCTGCTGCTGCTTCTGCTGCTGCTGCTTCTGCTGCTGCTGCTGCTTCTGCTGCTGCTGCTTTTGCTTCCTGTATGCACTCCCAGCAGAGTGTCTATCCACCGGAGGCGCAGCATGCATTTAAATCTGCATAAATGGCTGAAAATAAATTCATTTTCTGCATTTTTAATTCAAATAAAATAAAAAAACAAAAAATTAACACTCTCGACACTTTTAATTTAAATTAAATCACAAACAAAACAATTACCTTCGTCGCGTAGAGTGAATCGCCCCAACTGAGAACACGCCTCGTACTCCTCCAAACACATTGGCTTCGACAGCTGCAGCAGCAGCAGCAGCAGCAGCAGCAGCAGCAGCAGCAGCAGCAGCAGAGGAAAAGCATTTCGTTTACGCAGCGCAAGAAAAGACATTTGCGAGAGAAGTCCGCGCTGCAGCTGAATTGCTTTTTGCTGCAGTGGCCGCAGCAGCACGCAGACGCCAATAGCTGCACTCGGACAATTAGGGTTTAGGGTTTAGGGTTTAGGGTTTAGGGTTTAGGGTTTAGGGTTTACCATGATCTCGATGCTGACGAGGCAGTCGCTGGTGACAAACTGGGGATTAGTTTTTTTCTTTTTTCCGTCAGAAGACTCTGCAGCCGCAGCAGCGCGCGCCGGGTGTACGTACAGTGGAGAAAAGGGTAACTTTTCCCGGACTAAAAAGAAGAAAAGACTCGAAATGAAGTCCCCAAAAGACAACTCCCAAGTGCAAACAAAGCCACAAGCCTTTTCCGGGTTCGCGCTGCGCTGCGGTGTACGTACACCCCAGGTTTCTGCGGTGTCCGTACACCCCAGGTGCGCGCGGTGTACGTACACCGCAGAAACGCGGGGTGTACGTACACCGCAGCAGCGCGCTTCCCCGGCCTCGCTGGGGGCCCAAAAGCCACCGAAACGAAGCTCTCGAGCCGGCGAATCCAAAGAGAAAGGTTTGAGATCCGGAGGAGCGGAACTCACCGAGAATTTTGCCGAGCATGACCTCCTCGCGGGCGGTGTGTGCGTGCATGACGCAGGCGTACCCCGCAGTCAGCAGCGGGCGGTGCTCCAGCAACTCCATCACCTTCACGTAGGCCAAAATGCGCAGCGCCGGCCGGCAGGGCTTTTGGGGGCCGCAGAGAACAGCGCCGGCGGCCAGCGCGTCTTCGTCGCAGCCGAGCAATTTCAGGCGCACGTTTTCGCCCACGGAGGCGGCGCAGCACTCCAGCTCGTCCAGGAATATCCCACTCACCTTCACCCGCTTTTTCTGGGGTAGCAGCAGCGCCTGCGCACAAACCCTAAACCCTAAACCCTAAACCCTAAACCCTAAACCCTAAACCCTAAACCCTAGAGGATGAAGGCTGAAGGCAAAGTGTGGAGCCGGGAGAGTGGCGCTGGGCTGTGCGGGAGTCGGGAAGGGCTGGGGCGCAGGGGAGAGGCGGGCGGGGGAATGCAGATTGTCACGACTGGAAGCGCTTGCATGCATGCAAATGCATGCGCATGCATGCATGCAAATGGATGCATGCAAATGCATGCATGC